TTCTCTTCCCTTCTCTCCGGTTGATTGACGTGCCCCGAAGCAGGGGAATGTAACTATAAAAGGAGAAGAATTAGTGAAATAAAGCAGTTCGATATCACGATAAAATCATCTTATCGTTACAACTTGTACTTCACTGGTATATCATGATGTTTCACTCGTACTTCACTTGAGCTTCACCCATCGTTCAGCATACTTACATTGTAATTCATTCACACTTCGAAGTACTGAAGTCGCACTTTGTTATTCTTGCTGAGAACCTACCAACGTCTCAGCGCTCTTTTAGCATCTTTCAGCACATCAAAACCCTTTCGACACCTCAGCACTCTTTCAGCAATTTTAGGTGCTGAGGTGCTGTAGTTACCCGCTTGATAGTACTACATTATATTGATGATGATAATGATCATAATATAGATATTGATTTTGATCTAGTAGAAAATGAAAGTGATGAAACAGATGCTGATGACATGATTTGTAATCAAGCATATGATGATTTGACTTCATTGCATGAAAATTGTCTTACAGAACCTGATCAAAATATCAGCACTTCCTCATCAGTACACCCATGTTACACAAAATTAATTTTGTATAAATCTTCTGGATCTTTTGCGTCAAGCAAATATATTCAAATTACATTCAGCAAAGATCTTGAAATTAATTAGGTCAGTCCTTCCACAATCAAACAATGCTCCTACATCACTTAAAGCGCTATTGGATTATATGCAGGGTAAATTGCTTTTTCTTTTTAATTTTGTTAAAATAATATTCGTGAGTATTGTATAATTACGGCTAAGATTTAAGTGATCAGTAAAACAGATGAAACGGTCAGTAAAGAATTATGCAAATGATCAGAATAAATATCGAATGTCAAGTACTAAAATTACCAATAACCAATTGTAAAATTTAATCACTATCTCGATTACATAGAAGATAAATATTTGCAAGGCGTCGGGAATCACGGGATTTGGCTTTCTTGCATGCGTAATAAACTTTTCTCTTACTCTCTGTATAGTTTATGAAATATTTTCACTACTAATTTTTAACTGATGCCTCCATTTCGACAGCATTATAAAACTCGTCTGTTTGAATCCAATACTTTGATTTCTTGTTTTGAGGGCTCTTTTACTAACATTAATTCCACGATCTTCTTTAAAACTTTTTTATCTGATACATTGTTTTCTTATTGAGTAATCTGTACCGCTGCCATAATAATAAAAACGTTACATCTTGTAAACCTCAAATATGCCATTCTTATTTGAAAAACAATAAATATTTATACACGGGAATAAATAAAGAGAACAAGCAGAGATGAAATCGAGGAAATTCGTTATCTTGATTTTCGACAATAAACAATAAGAAGAATTACACCAATGGTTCTTATGCACGAAATATGTAGGCTAAAAGAACTAGCTGACAAGAACGAGAACACGTGTAGAACAGCTCAAGAGAAGAGAGAGAAAGAACAAAAGTGGTACATTCCACAACCATTTCAAATTTTCTTCTGACCATTTAATATAATCACCTGCTAATAAATTCTATTTATTGATTTATAAATATATTTACAAACCTAATTAATTTATAGTTGATTGTGTAAACAATTTACTTATTAATCAGTACATTGACCGATTTTTATAATTGTTTCATTTACTGACCAGTTCATTTGGTTTACTGGCCGTAAATCGTATTCCCAATATTTGTCAAATCGAAGTTTCTTTAGTAATATTTATATGCTTAAAATTCTTTTTTTAGTGGACAATTTGTTCGTGATAAGAAAAATTTGTTTATTATGCAAATATGATATGGAAAACTCGGCACAATCATGTACGAAATGCAACTAACATGACAATAAGCAATTTGCTGATGTTTTTGATGCAGATTATGAAAAAGTTTTTAGTGAAGTAATTGAACGACATCTTGTTGATATTGGTCAATATCGCCAAAGGATTTTAACCTCAGAGAATGATGAAAACAATGATATTCCATTTCAAAAAAATTATCGTTCTTTATTGAAAAGTGTACCTCACCAGCCTTTTATCAGTGTTATTCTTCATCTTGATGGGATTGGGTTGGGAAAACCTAATAAATTAACGTTATAGGTATTTTCTTGTTCGATCGTAGAATTACCACCTCATCTTAGGAATAAACGTGAAAATATGATACTACTCTCAGCTTGGATTAGTCCTCAAGAACCAATAATTAATACTTGACTAAATAAATGCATACAACGTCTGAAGCATTTAAAATTATCGGGTATGTTTATCAAAAAGTGATAGATGATGCTACCTGTAAAAAAGAATAGTATATAATAACTTAATTGGGGTATTTATATTGATGTCTATTATCTATTTTAGTTCATCTCTATCAGTATTTTCGAGATTCGTAAAGCCTCAACTACTCGCTACAGCAGTTACTCAAATACTTATTTATTTTTTCCCACAACGAAAAAGTCACGAACTTCAAATTACTTTCGATGGTGTTAAGTATAGACATGATTGTTGAAACCAAATTCTCTGTATCCGCTAGCTTCATTTATAAATAGACGCCTGTTTTCGATTGTTCCTTAAACAGCTCGAAAGATCGGGTTAGGTTCCCTAGAAAGACATCTATGATTGAGCAAACAATGTTAGATTTTTCGCATTATCAAACTAAATTGCAAAAAGGGCTCTTATAACTGTTAAGAGAATTTTAATGCGAGATTTCAGTTATTCTTTGAATCTTTCGGGCCACAAAGAAACTACTTGATAGAAAAGACAATGATGTTATCATTTAGAAACGTTATCTTTAAACTTTTACTGAATTAGTATGAGTTTAGAAAAATACTGCTTTCCAATTGGAAAAAATTGCTATCTAAGTAGATTTTTTTTCCAAAGTCTGAAAGGTTCAGTTTCTTCTAACTGCATTGAAACATATCTCTTGCAGTTACCCAAATCATATTTGAAAAACGATTACATTTTTTACAACTAGAAGTTATAGATAAAATAAGATCAATTGGAAACGGAACAGAATTGAAATATTCTATATGAAAATTTCAAATAATTCTGTATGTTACCTCCCGATACATTGAACTAGTCTATATATCATAATGTTATGTCTTACAGATGTGGGTGTGGGTATTCATCGCCACACCCACACCCACACCCTCTACACTAGTTCGTTGTCGTCTGTCGTAGTTTGTTGTCGTGTGTCGTGTCTCGCTGTATATATAAAGGCTCGCTCTCCCTGTGATGAATTCATTTCGTCGATTAATACAACAGCAGCAACATCGACTCTTCTACTGTAATTTCCACGGACAAGAACAACTGCATCTATTCTCAACCATCTTTATCAGATCTGTTGATATTTTAGTTAGAGTTTTCTCTCAGCCTTTTTTTCCATACAATTCACAACAATCTTTCTCCAACTTCATAGCTATTTGAGAGGAACATAACTTCTGCAAATCATTGTGACAGCAAGCGTATAAAATTAATTTTCGAACTTCATGGGATTCTTAGATTCGAAAAGTTTTTTCTTTAATTTTTTGTCATCATTGGCATGCATGTTTGTCTCGACATGCTATGAAGCGAGTATCACCAGTGTGGGAGCCGCCAATGAATCCAAATTTAAGTATAAATAATCAAGTAAAAGAATACAAATTTTCTTTAATCGCACACTGAGCACTTTTATTTTAAATAGGCACAACTTTTCATACTTATATTAGTTATAGTAATATAAAAAAGAAGATCAACAGTACGAAATGTCATTGACAGAACGACGATTAAGACAACAGATACAATTGGAAAATCAACTAATGGAATCATACAAATGGTGAGATGCAGAATAAAGAAAATATCAATGGTTAAAACGACGAGAAAAAGAAAAAGAAAAAGAATTCTATGGTGAATTGCAAGAAGAACAATGGCAAGAACTTGAAAAACTGGAACGACGAGACGAAGAAGAAAAAGAAAGAAAAGAAGACTGGGAACAGCAAAGTTTTAAATTATTTCCAGTCGTCGATGAATATGAACAAAATTATATTCAACATTTGAGACAAATTTCTCATGTAGAAGAAGCTAAATAACAAGATGCATCAGTTAAACACTTGCAAAATTTAGGAAAATATCAACAACATGAACTTACAGGACAACTCAAACTTCTCGAGTCATTTCTGAGAGAAAAACATGAAATATTAAGTCACTCTACCTTTTTTGTTTTGTTCGACGATGTATATGTTTCTAATCATTGTATGATTTAGTGTAGTTTGCTTTTGTAGTTGTTCTCCCACATAAATTAATTACTCAAGCATTTTCTTCTTGTTCTAAATAAAAATATTTAACATGAATATGAATACAAATATTAACACAGAAACGATCAAAACTCCAAGTCAAGATGCTCAAGGTCGTTGGTATGACTTACTATCACCAACACAAGTACTAACAGGACAAGAACAAACAACAACTACAACGACAATATCAAAAATAAAGAAAGAACAACCACGTACTCGAAAACTATAACGTTATTCGCGAAAACTTCGTAAACAAGGTTTAGATGAAGCAACTATACTAATGTATAAACGTGCTAATCAACTAAAACAAAAACAAAAACAACAGGATCAAACAGAGGACGTAGAAATGGAAGAAATAATTCCTCTCAATGATACAATGGTAAGAATAAATGAATCCGTTCATAAACATGCTGCTTGTGTTCTTCGAAAGGAGCATTTTTTTTGCTTTTTTTTCATTATCTAGACATTACCAGGTCCATATAATCCTCAACGAAAAATAATGAAACGTAAAAGAGATGAATCAGCTAAACAAAATGATACATCTATTATTAAATCATTAAGTCAATTGTCAATGAAAGAAAATTCTAAGAAAAAGAAAAAACGACCGTCTTCGTCTTTGAAAATACAAGATAAAGAAAATGGAAAAGAAAATGAAGAAAATATGATTCAAGTCAATATTAATAAACAAACAACATCACTACATTATTATTTAAATGCTACAGATAAAAAATTTAAACAAATGTTAAAGGCTGCCTTTGTTGGTGGTAAAGATATTCTACAATGGTATAAATCAAAAGACACTCTTCATTATCTACGTGAACATACTCGTTTAGTAGATAGAGTACATTATCTGAAATTAGAAGAAGATCTTTGGAAAAATTATACAATTTATGGGGAAATATATCACTGTTGGACATCATCATTATCAAAAACAATCATTAAAGATAATAAATTAGAAGAAGATTATAAAATATCGAAAAAGTCTATGACAAAATATCGAGAAAGAATCAAACATCAACAACAAGAAGCTGAAGGACAAGTTGAAAAACATGCCTTATTATTGAAAGATTATCAACATCAAGATTCAAGCGTCGATGAACAACATTCATGGGCAGCTATCTTAGCATTAGTACGTAAAGGTCAACATAAATTATCTCAAAATTATGANCTGTGTCTATCCTGAATATGATATCGCTTTTTTACACGAATGACCGTCTGATTTATAATCACTACAACTGACTATCATGGGTTGAAATCTGTTCACAAAAGAACTACGAGGCTATAGGATAGAATGTACTATATGGTTTTCATGAAATTTCTCGTAATTATATAAAGAAATGCTAATTGTTCCTAACAGTGTTTATCATCTAAAGCTCAAGCAGAGTGTGGGTGTGGATGGAGATCTAGATGAAGAAAAGATAAACACACACCCAACACCCTCTATAGAAATAATCTTGTTTTAGTAGTTGCACATATCTTTATATGATAAAAACGAACAAATAAAAAAATATGTTCATTAAATAATAAATATGTTCAAGTAGAACATGAGATAATTGATGGAGTTCATCAATAATAACACCCTCACATTATATTTTCTTAAAAATTTCAGCTCTATTATCAATGTAACAAGTAGATATTAGTTTATTGTATCAATATTTTCAAATATTTCCATATAGAATTTTTTTTGTTTTTCGCACGTTAAATTAGTATAGATTATTCAAATAAAGTAAATGAATATATTTAATTATCAATGAAAAGCATTACACAAATAAAATTAATATATATGATTATATGATAATTAACTTGTTTTATGTTAAGTGCATGTTCATTACATACTATTGCCGATGTATTATCAAGTATTTAGTCAAATTATTTATTCTTACTGTTTTTTCTCTTATTTTATTTTTATTAATCTTGAAAGGAAAAAAAAGAATCTTTATAGTGAAATTTGATAATGATAATTCACCAATGACTTAATATTGTTTGAATTTTTCTGAATTTCTTCTCAGGAATAAAATAGAATGAAATCATATTTCAATTAAGAAATGAGTTAGTTTTTCTTTTTCAGCTATTCTTAAATATTCTCATTGCAAGTTTTCTTGTCTTTTTGAAAAATTATTAAGATTTATGCGTAGGACATTTTCAAATTATAACATGGAAACACAAGAAGAAAAACTCATTAGTTAAATGGAAAGATTTGAAAAATTTCACACAAATAGAGAAGAACTGGAACAATATTTTTTATCTAATTTAATATAAACTGACCATGAAAACTGATGAAAAAAGACGAGAAATAATATATCTGATTGCAAAAAATTACGGAAAATATCTTTCAATCTAACGAATATAAAAAAAGATGAGCGTCTAATTGTCGTTGAAATAATTTTAAAAAATATCAATTAAATCCTTATATAGAAACGTCTTTTGAATTATCTGTAAATAAACATTTTCATAAAAAAACTCAATATTAATTCAAGAGAGAATAAATAATTTAGCGTGAAATTTTTTAAAAATAGAAACGGATCAAGTTAATTAAGATCTATATATTAAAATCTTTGATTTTTTTTTCTTACTAGAATATCCCAGGTCAATCACGCTCGGCAGTAAACGGCCGTTCACTAACCAAATACGGCGAAAAACGGCAACTGTTTGCGTTAATCATATACGGCACCAGTAAACGATGATTTACAGCATATTACGGCAATCGGATACAATGCCCGTAAAAATTCGTCGTAAACTACTACCGTAACAATACGATGACTGTATACTTTGGCCCAAAAACAATGTAAGGCGTCGTATACGTCAGCCATTTAAGGTGACTGTTTACAATGGTCGTACCTGATGCTTTACGGCATGCTACGACAATTGTAAGCATTGGCCGTAAAGTATCGCCGGAAACGACTAGCGTGATAACAAGATGACCATATACGCTGGTATTATAAAATGTCGTAAAACACAGTGTAGATAAGCAGTATACGGTAGCCGCTTATGACGATCGTAAACGACATTTTACGATGATTTGCGGCCCATGTAAACAATTACCATAAACAGTCACTGTGTACGACTTCTCTAACAATATGCCGACTGTATATGTTCATCGCATAATATCGCGACGTACCGTCTTTGTTTATTGTAATTCGTTCGATATAGAAACAGTATTTGTTATTGTATTTCATCGCAAACGATCATTAATGTCGGCGGATTTCTATTATTGAATATCAATAACATACTGTCGTGATGAAGTCAAGGGGAAACAGCGGACTTCAAGACTTCGAAAGACTTTTGAAGACTTCAAAGGACTCCAAATGACTTCACAAGACTTCATAAGACTTCGTATGGCTTCATGAGACTTCATGGAACTTCAAAAGACTTCATAAGACTTCACAAGACTTCACCAGACTTCATAAAACTTCATAGAACTTCACAAGACATCAAGAGACAAATTCCTTGCGTATCGAAAAATCTTATAGAAATTACATAAAACTTCTATAACATGCAAAAAACAAAACTCATCATATAGAGATTACAAAAGTGTTTCTTGTTCCTGAGAATTGTTTCTCGTACTATACCCATATGTAGAATAAAGATGTGACAACGACACAAAGCGTTGATGAAATTAAAACAGAGAAAATAAACTTTACTGATATGCGTATATTTGATTCGATTAATCCAGCATTAAAAAACTTCTATGTTCAGGTGCAAATAAATAACAAGACTAAATTTATACACAAGCAAACGACTAGTTAGTTATTGACCGACAAAGCTAGCCGTTTATCGGTTGATAAATTATCACGAGTCATAGAAATAAACAAAAAGGAATAAAATTCTTCATAAGATTGACATCGAATAGATGGAATATTTCTTATAAAAATAAGCCACTTCATTCAAAAAGTATTCAGTTATTAACTATCATGTTTTCTAAGATCCAATAAACTCGAATTTTTTTCAGCACCTTGACAAACAAACAAGAAAAAATTCACTTTTCTACTAAAATAAGACCATCGAAAACAAGACAATTTCATTGCTTTCTTATGTATTTTCATGCACTAAATGTATTTCAAAATTTCCAGAAGAATTCATGAGACTTCATTAGACTTCGAGAGACTTCAAAAGATTTCACAAGACTTGACGAGACTTCATGAGATTTCATGAGACTTCACAGAACTTCATGAGACTTCATAAGACTTCATGAGACTTCAGAGACTTTATGAGAATTCATGAAAATTCATAAGACTTCAAGAGACTTCAGAAGACATTGAAAGACTTTCAAGACTTCACAGGACTCCTACACTGGAGTCTCTGCTGTTTCCCCTTGGTTTTGGGTGTGGGGTGTGGATGTAGGTGTTGGTGTGGCTGTCGGTGTGGGGTGGGTGTGAGTGTGCGTGCGGTTATGAGTGTGGCGAAAGAGAAATTGTATACTCCGACGCCCGCACCCACACCCTTCAAAATCTAGCTACATACAAACAAAATCTAAATAAAACAATTCTGTTTTTAAAAATCAGATGTAATTTCTTGACGACGATAGAAAATAAGTTCAGGTTGATCGTGATTAATTCGAAAAGCATCAAAAGAACGCATAACATCAACAAATAAAAGTTTGTCTTCAACAGATATTTGACCATTTAAAAACTGATATGTTTGACAAGATGTCGAACCGTCCATATCATCTTCCTCAGTCGTAGATTTTTCATCAAAATATTCAGTTAGTGAAAGATAAAGAAAACAAATGAGGTACATCGTTTTCGTACATGAAATAATCTTCTTCACCATTTGGCATTACATAAATAAGTTCAAATTTTCTTGGTTTATCTGTTATAATTTTGTTATCATTATTCATTCGATTAAAAAAATAATTATTTAATTTATGAATTGCAGCTTCACGTTTAGGACATCGACATTTAATGGATGATGGTTGTTTATAATCATTTATTGAACATGCTTCGCACATATGAAAATCTTTTGGATAATTCAATTTACATTCATCTCGACATAAATCAAATATATCTTTTGTTACATATTTGAATAAATTTGGTGGTAAATAAGCAGTAATAAACCATTTAGTTTGTTCATTTTTGATAAGAGCAATACGACGAGCACATAATTCTTTAAGACTTAATAAACCATTTGATTGTATGCCATGACGTTGAAATCGTTTAATAGCTCCACAAAATTAACTAAGATCATCTTTAATTCCAATAGCTAATATATCACATATTGATCTTGTTCGATAATATCGACTCATGATCAAATTTAAGCATAAAACTAGAAAAACAAACAACGTTTATGTATATATAATAAGAATGTAATTCAAAGAAAAGCACGACTATTTAGCTGACTACTAATAAAACATTTAAACTCACCAATCAGTTTACAGAGAGAGATCACCATAATGATTCTTATCGAAAATAGAATAGAATAAAAAGATCTTTGGGTGTGGGTGTGGCTATGAGTGTAGCGAAAGGGAAACAGTATACTCCGACGCCCACACATACACCCACACACTCACGCCCATATCCTCTACCTGTACCCACCCTCAGGAAATCAGGACGCAATATTGACTTTAGCAACCTCTCATGCGATGCATGTGAATACGAGTTACTCATTATCTCGTGAGATTTCGGTTTGAAGTCGGTTAAGATGGATTTTAGGTGAGTTGGAATGGATCCATAAAATGAGTATTGAATTCTTTCATCAAATGTTTCCCAAAGTAAATAGCTTAGAGTGGGGTCTCCGGGAGCGAGGAATTCTAAGCTCTATCAATTGACAATTATTTCGAATTAAACAAGGGTTAGAATGACTTGAAGTGGGTTAGACCGTTTTTTACTAATACCCTAAGCTAGTCGTTTAAAAGGAAAAACGGATCTCATATTTTGGTTGGTTGTAAAAATGTCGGAAAAAACATATCGACGGAAAAATGGTTGATGAATATTTTGAAGAGTTGTGAATAGTAAAGAATATGTTTTATAATATAAATTAATGTTAATATTATAACAGTGACCAAATATAGATAATGAAAAAACCTGATTTATCACTTCGTTGTTTAGCAGCTATAAGTTGTAGTTTTATTCATTTTCAAAACGTAGTAATTGGCTATGAGTAAAGATTTTCCTTTATTTGAATTTATAAATGAAATAACTAGAGGTATACATCAAGTTACATTAGTTGACGATGTAGTAGTTACAACCATAACAATAAAATTATAGTTATATAATAGTTCTCCGTTTAACTATTCTATTTAATTTATATCAAGTATTAGTCATCACCACTACGACTGGTTAAACTTGAACACTAGTAGAATTATAAGAAAAAAAAACAATGAAATAGATGTGATTACAGTTAACATTTACGAGAGACATCTTTTTCGATATTTTTTTGCTACGATATTCTTTGACTTCAACATATACTTTTCTATATTTCTCCTCTCCTATGTTGTGTCTTTCGACATTTTCTTCTTATTTTCTATTGATATTTATTCTTTCAATATTTTTACAGAACACCCATATTTTTTCAGATAAAATTTCAAAGACATAGAAAGCTCTCGATTGCTAAACACTAACTGCTGTGAGTATTTTTGGATTATAATTCGTTCAGAATGTTGATGCTTTTGTTCTTTTAGAAATAAATGGACCTTGAAATTACGTTAGCAATAGAAAAAGGACAACATCAATTCCAACAACAACTTAAATCAAGAAAGGAAAAATCCCGTGAACAAAAGGTTGTTAATCTTGTTCAAGGATTGTCACCTTATTTGGTTACAGAAGCAACAACTGAATGTACTAATCAATTCTCAAATAATCAGCTACTATATTCATGTGAAAGCATAATATCACAAAATAATGACGAAAACAATTATAATAATATGGATATTGACTTCGATCTATTAGAGTATGAAAACGATGAATCAGATACTGATGATGAGATTGATAATCAATCAGATGATGATTTGACTTCGTTACATGGAAATCGTCTTACAGAACCTGATCAAAATTCAGCACTTCTTCATCAGTACACTCATATTACACAAAACGAATATTGTACAAATCTTTTGTATCTGTTTCGCCAAGCAAACATATCTAAATTACACTCAGCGAAGATTTTACAATTAATTAGTTCAGTCCTTCCACAACCGAACACTGCTCCAACAACACTTAAAGCATTATTGGATTACATGCAAGGTAAACTTTTTTTTATTTTTTATTTTGTTAGAATAATATTCATGAGTATTAAATAATAACGCCTAGGATCACAGTAATCAGTAAAATCGGTGAAATAGTTAGTGAAGAACTATGAAAACCATTAGCGTAAATATCAAATGCTAAGCACTAAAGTTACTTATAGTTAATTGTAAAATTGAATCACTATCTCGATCATATAGGAGATAAATACTTGCAAGATGTTAGGGATCACGAGAATAGGCTTTCTTGCGTATTTAATAAAACTTCTGTTAATTTTCTGTATGAATTGTAAAATATTCCGACCATTAATTTTCAACTAATACCTTCGTTTCAATAGCATTATGAAATTCATCTGTTGTTATCCAATAGATTGATTTCTTGTTTTGAACGCTCTTTTACTAACAATAATTCCAAGATCTTGTAAAGTTTTTATCTAATCCATTGTTTTCGTATTGAATAATTTGTATGACTTCCATAACAATAAAAATGTCATATTTTTGAAATCTCAAATATTTCATCTTTATTCAAGAAACAATGCATATTTTTTTTTATGCATGAGAATAAAGAAAGTGAACAAGCAGAGAAGTCGAAAAACTTCATTTCCTAGATTTTTAACAATAAGCAATAGGACGAATTACAACAATGGTCCTTCTTATGCACGAAATATGTAGGCCAAAAACACTGAATAAAAAGAACCAGAATACATATAGAAAAGTTCAAGAAAAAAAGAGAGGACAAACAGAATAGATTTATTCTGCAACCATTTCACTTTTTTTAACCATTCAATTTAATGAACTGTTAAAAAATTCTGTTCACTATTTTATAAATTTGTTTATAATCCTAATCAATGTATAAATGACAGTTTATAGTATTAACTGATCAATCAATAAATGAACTGATTTTATAAGTGTTTCATTAACTTATTAGTTCATTTTATTTACTGGTTATAAATCGTATACTCAATATTTATCCAATCGAGTTTTTTTTATTAATATTTACACATTCAAAACTCTTTTTTGTAGTTGACAATTTGTTCGTAAAAAGAAGAGTTTGCTTGCTATGTCACAATAATATTGCATTATCATCGGATACATGTTTTAAATGTAACTCGAATTATACTAAACAATATGCTGATGTATTTGATGCAGATTATGAAAAACTTTTCAGTGAAGTGATTGAACGAAATTATGTTGATATTAATCAATATCGTCAAAAGATTATAACCACACAAAATGATGAAACAAATGACATTCCATTTCAAAAAATTTTCCGTGAATTTCAACAAACCGTATCTCATCGATATTTTATCAGTGTTATTCTTCATCTTGATGGAATCGGATTGGGAAAATCCAATAAACTAGTGTTATGGTTGTTGTCTTGTACAATCGTAGAATTACCTCCTCATCTTCGAAATAAACGCGAAAACATGATACCACTCTCAGCTTGGATTGCTCCTCGAGAACCGATAATTTATAGTTGGCTAAATGAGTGTATACAACGTCTGAAGTATTTAAAATTATCAGGTATGTATGTCAAACAATGATATATGATGCTAACAGTAAAAAAAAGCATATTATATAATAAACTTAATTATGGTATTTAATATTATGTCTATACTTCATTTTAGTTCATCTCTATCAGTGTTTTCCACAATCTTGAACCCTCAACTAATACCTACAACAGTTACTCAAATACATGTTTTTCCTATAAGGAAACAATTACGAGCTTGAAATTAGTTTCGATGATATTAAGCGTAGAAAAGACTCATGATGGAGAATTTTTTGTATCCGTTAGTTTCCTTTATAAATAGACATATCTTTTTGGTTGTTTCTTCAGAGTCCCAAAGATCGAATTCAATTCGCTAAAATAATATCTATGATTGAGTCAGCCAAGTATACTAAATTTTTTTGAATTAGCAAATTAAATTGGATAAAGATGTCGTGTTATATTTAAGGAAATTTTACCAAGAGATCTCGGTTACTCTTTGATTTCTTTCAGACACTAAAGAAAATATTTGCAAGAAAAGACAATGATAGTATTATTTACGGATGTGAACTTCAAATTTTTACATAACCGATATAGATCTAGAAAATCACTACTTTTCAATTGAAAAAAGGGATCTAAATATTTTTTTTCGAAATTTTGCAAGCTTCAGTTTTTTTTCTAATTGTATTGGAACATATCTCTTGCAATTACGGAAATCACATTCGAAAAACAGTATCACTTTTTATAGCAAGATGTTGCCGACAAAATAAGATCGACTAAGAACTTAAAAGAATAGTAATATTCAGTTTAAAATTTTAAGCATAATCTTCGTCTCACTTTCCGATACACCAAACTAGTCTACATATCATGACATGATTTATGTGTTCGCTATGCAACGATCTTTAATAAATATGATATCAACTTATATTTATCTATTTACAAGCTTCAACACCATTGTATTCAGTAATCAAATAATTAGAAAAACTAAATTATATAATTAATAATAACATCATAATTATACATGATCAATATGGCTATTAACAGCAACATAAATCATCTTTTATTTTATCTAATTTAATCACGTTCAGAGCTATTATTCATATCGTAATTTCTGCACGCGTTCGAAAAAGAAAAAAAAGACCTAAAGTTCTATAAAATATATACATGAAAAAAGAAAATTGTAATAAATAAAACAACAAGGAAAAAAATATTGTTCTTTTTTATTGTTAACAAAATTATGGATTTCTATTTGATTAAAATTTTGAAGTCTAGAAGTGTAAAATGTAATAACTGAATCAGTAGTTGATTTGATATTGCTTAAACATCATAGCATACCGAATGCCAAATATATTTATACAAAATCCATGTTCACAAAAAATATATGTATCGTGATATTAAGTCTCATAAAAACGTTTCTCCTGTACGGGATCTAGTTTGTACTAAATTGTATAATGTTGAATCAGTTATTTATACACATATGCAGAGATTTATGATGCACTGTATAGCATAAAATATGATGCTTCCCAATGTTCAATAAGTGTGGTATAGCGAAAAAATCTACTTCTGTTACCTTCAATGTATTTATTGACGAATCTTACTAAATTATATCTATACTTAGAGGAAAAATTCAGACAAGTTTCAAAGCCTTACAATAGTCAACCTATTTCTTTTCTGATCGGAAGCACACATGCAAGAAACCACTAATAGAAATAAATGCATAGAATTTTCATTGTCAATCTAAAACGGTTAAGATCAGTAGCCTAAAAAAAATGATAGCTGAAACAATTAAATAATCTCATTATCAAGATATTAATTCTTTTTATTTTTATTGATATAGGGATTTTAGTAGGTGGTACTAAACGCTGGTTTATTTATTTTATTGGGGTGATTTGTGATTGTCCTGCGATGAAGTTAATTCTTAATCATATTGGTAACAATGGATACTATTCATGTTGGTATTGTAAAATTAGTGGGATCCATATATCAAATAAAAGACAATATTATTTTGAAGAAGCACCAATTATGAGAACTATCGATAGTTATGTAAATGAGTCTATGAAAGCTGAAGAAACACGTGAAAACATAAATGGTCATCTTGGTATGTCAATTTTACATCAAATTCTCGATATACGGCTTCCAGATTCGATCATGATGGATTATATGCATATAACATTACTTCGACATACGCGAGTTGTTGCTCAACAATTGTATTCAAGCCTTACAAGACAAGAAAGAACCGAATTGGACAATAGAATACGTCTTCAACAGTTTCCACACACATTTCACAGAAAAATGAGACCCATCAGTGGTACACACATTAAGTATGCTTTATTTAAACTTTTTTCTTTTAAAATAATGTGAATAACGTATCTTATTCTATAGTAAAATTAGAATGATTAGTACTACTTCATCATCCAATCTGAAATACAAGCTTTCTAAAATCAAGCTCTGTTTTTCTTAGATTATACTGATATAGAGACTAAGTCTCTATAAGTGCTAGGAATTTTAGACTCTGTTTTTAATCTAATAGTACTTAAAACGGGATTTTAATGATATGCTTGAAAAGACATTAGGAAGTTAACATCCATTTTGATATACTAAGTGATCGAATACAAGCAACGGTATTTCTTGTTAAGAATCTATTTTCTTTTCTTGATCTGAAATATATCGAAACAAAGTATTTTTTACAAATGATCTTTCGACTTCACTTGCAATCAATTTACATGCATACATCGTATCTTTGGCTTACTCAAAATATATTACCATTTGAAACTTTCATTTCACAAATGGAAGAAAAACTTGAGATCTTTTTTTTTATGCTTTATCTTTTCTTCATTACTTGAGTTCGTTTAATTATCTAATCGTGATGTAATTGTCATGTATAGATGATTCGCAGGAGATACCAATACATATGCGCTTAATTATAAAAGATTTTAAAGAAATATTGTTTATATTATTGAATTTTTCTCCTTCGTATATACACGTTTTCATCGAAACAATAGAAATAGTTATACGGGATGCATATAGTATTATATAAGATAAGTTGATAACGTATCCATAGTCAGACTATGGATAAATAGAATAAGTCATGCATATTTTCTAAATTCGAGTACAAAGAAAAAAGAAACATATTGAGTTCAAAGTCCATGGTTTTAAATATTGCTTCTATATTTTTGCACTTTTAACCTCAAAAAGGTGTACAATACTGATTAAATATAAAGAAACAAATTTTTATAAAACGTATTGATATAAGTTCAATAGAGTGGACACTTTTTATGAGCATAATTTACATAAGTTAATAAGTTCTTGATTCAACTCCTATATTCCTTCAATTCAATAAGCTAAAACTATGCTTTTAAATGACACAATCAGTTAAAGAGAACTTACAGCAAATTGAAATAATCGTTGTTCGTATGTTTTCTACTTTTCTCTGTTCATTAAACTTGCCCCCTAAACTTCTTGTTTTTTTTTCTATCGGAATAAGTAAAAGGTCCATTTGTGTAAATCGTTAAATTTGAAATGGAACTGAAGGACAAAAGATCTGACGACTGATTTTTAGAATAATAGTAAGAACAATAAATACGAAATTCTTACTTTGCTGACTTTAACTTATTTTAAAGATAAGTAATGAAATACTCTAGATAAGAACATGATATCATTTCTTACAATTGCTGAATTTCAAAATTAAAGAATACTATTATTCTACAGTGGTTTATTTATGAAATTTTGAAAGTTTATCTTTGGAATACAATTAATCTAGCTTATGCTATTATTCCGAATGTTTTTTTTCTAGAGCAACTGAAATAAAAAATTTTCTTTTCTATGGAATTATACCGTTGTTTTACTCATATCTTCCTGCAGATAAAGCTGCTCATATTTCTCTGTTCGTATGTGCTATTCGGGTATGTCATTTCTTGTCAAATAATCACTTCTCTTTCTATCAGATATGTTTATTAAATAGATGTTACATGGTGAGAAACAATTTGGCTCGAAAACAGGTCAATTAGCTCACCAACTGCTAGTTGCCTATTATAAAGATCATAAAAAATATTATGATGGACTTGAAAATCTAGTACTACACTTGCACGTACATTTTTTAGCACAATATAATAACTACGGTAGTTTAAATAATACAAACTGTTTCGCTCAAGAGAGCTTTCTTGGAGCGTTTTCTAAAAATAAACATGGTAGTCATCATTGGGGTGATTTACTTATGTACTACTTTAACGTAAGTTGTTTATTTGATCCTAGTGACATACTATATGGCTTCTGTGTTTTTAGATAGATTTTGCTTTACGAAAAAAACTTGATCGATCAACTGCTGACAATTTGAATAGTAAAGATGGACCATTTGATACGTCAATTAGATCAATATATAATGTAGAACAACTTCTTCTGTGGCACGCAAATGTATGCAATTGTAAGCAAATCGAAAGTTGCATTAATATCTACAATCGTTGTAGAATTAAATGTAAAACGTATCACTCACTTAGTTATTCAAAACGTCAATCAACAAAAAGTTATTTCGTACAGTACACTAAAAGTGATCACCAAGTGTTGTTTGGATCAATCGAATTATTCTTTACATTTAAGGATTCAAATTTCGCTCTTATTAAAAACTATTTGAATCAAACTTTATTTTCAAATATCTTCAGTTCTACACCGTATTATTCTCTTGTATCAAAATTCATTGATGCTTACTTTTACGTTCTTCAACCAGAGCCATCATGTTTTCATTATGTGCCAATCCAGAATATATGGAACATGTGCATTGTCTTTGAAAAAGAGAATTTCATTATTGTAACTCCTGTTTCTAAAGATTACGAACATAATTAAAGGAAAAAGAAAATGATGAACCAATTTTATTATTTTTGTTTTTAATATCTGATTTATTGCTTGTAATTGAAGTATTTTAACTTGTTGTTTTTAGTACGCCGGTAGAAATTTAAATTCGTCCTTCTTCTATATCAGTGAGATAAAAGACTCGTGCAGCTGTTCTCTTGGAATAATACTTTACACCTAGATTCTTAGCTAAATTAAATACTAATCATATTTTTACTATTTAAAATGAAATTGACTTCGGTGTTTTAACATAACATCACTGAAATGAAAGGGATTAGACAATATCTAGGTACCGCTTTTACCAAAAGTAAATTTAGTTATATAAACATAACACACCCTAACATTTAAAACAATTGTAAACACTAAACTCCAGTCTTCTACACTTTTTCTATTAACGAGGTGCAATATTCATAACTTTCATTTGGATGAAATTTTTATCTAAAGAAAACTTTATTTTTGTTATCATCGTCAAATTTATTCATATCTTAATATACCTGTTTATATCTGAGCGATCACTAAAACATTTTTTCAGTTTTAATTTCAATGTTTTATTTTCTCCATTCTAAATTATCTGATTAGCTATTCAAGTGGAATAAACATAGTCAGTCTCTAGAAACAAAGAACATTGAACGAGGAAGGAAATGTCAATTAATTGACGACGATGATGATCTGATAATGATGCGTTACTCGTCTCTTCATTTACCCATCTAAAATATGCTAACTGACAGTCGAACAAATGAAGTAAAAAACAACAATTCTCTGGTCTTTGAGCTATTACAGACACTTTAAAACTTTTATTTTGAATAAGTTGTTTGCATAACTTACCGGTACAGTGTACCTTTGACATATCACTCTAAGTGAAATGTTAAAATTTAGATTTATGATACAGAACATATTGCGTAAATGTAAATATCTTGAAATTTGGATATCAGTGTACTAATGGCAACATCAGTCTATATTTTGAGTTTATTAGTTTACTAATGACAGCTGCAATTCGACTAGACTATATGTGAACTTACTAACTAAAAAGAAAAAATATCTTTACTGCTGGGAAAAATAACTCTTTTCATGTCTTACAAGCTGAGAATTTTTATCGTTCTTTGTCACAGATTTATATCACTATAATAACGATAATCCAGAGGCATTTTAATTTCATAATACAATTTTTATCCCTGCCTGGGATATTAGATTCATGCAATGTGATATTAGACATTTTGTTCTAGTATGAGATTTAATTATGTTCCTCATAGTTACCATAATAGAAAATGTCCTTTTTTTACCAAAGCAAACCTGAATAGTATTTTTTAAATAAGAAAAAATTGATTTAACCTTATCATTAGTAGTTAGATATCCAATGATAAGAATAAGGATGATTCATAGATGAGACATTGTTTTTATTTAATTGAATTTATGCGAACACTTGTTAAAAGTAAATACGAGTGAAACAATTTCACAAGTTTATGGTCACGTTTCATTTGAAAATAGGAGTGTGTAATTGGTGTTTGAGTGAAAAGAAGATCAGCACTTATACCCAGAACGTAGTGCTATTTATCAGTCACTAGAGACTAGCCTTCACTTGGGTAAAACAATAGCTAAATTGCTAAACTATCTGATTTCAAAGAAGAATAAATGAGAAATAGTTATTCTATTATGATTAAACAGAATATGTTATAAGCCTTACAAAATAGATCTTTGATCAATTGCTAAAACAGAGATCTTTCTGAAGGTTTATATTAATACGTTTTTCTCTCAACATACTAGTGTAGTTATTGGTCTAGTCCACTATTCTTTTAAAACTAAAAGAAGAGATACGCTTAATATAATACTTAAATATTGCGCCTCTGTTTTTAAAAAATTTCCAACCTTAAACATTAGATGGTTAATAACAACGCTATGTAAAATAGAAAATTCCTAGTACAAAAAGATAGCTATTTTTAAATGTTTTTAGACATACTTTCTTCTACATGGATGTTTCGACAGTCACAAACGTCAATCGTCGCAAGCGCGTTCCTCCTACTATATTCACACCAACACAATCATCTAACGTGATTTCCAATTATTACTTACTATATTTTATTGATACTGAATCTTATCAAATTGCTGCTCGAAGTAGTATAAAAAGATTCGACGAGAAAGGTTTTGCACAAGTTATTATTCGAAATAAATTATTTCAAGGAAAAATTATTCACGTCGGTAATGTTTGACTTAGCAACTCAATTTTTTCTTATGTTGTTTTCATAGATTCTCTTGATGGCTGTGAGAAAGAGCTCGGACGACGAACACGCTTATCTCAACAAGATAATACTAATAATAGTAACTCTTTTTTTACTTTCTCTTGTAGGTACTTAATTATGATCTTATAGACGATCTTGATGAACAACAAGAAGAATTAGATGAATATAATGATGAAATTGTTAGTAGCATCACACCGAGCCAACGTTCGTTTACAACACAAGCTCAACATGGAACTAGTTCATCAATCGAATATGACTTGTCTTCTTTACGTAGATAATTTTAGCATATTATTAGTTAATTTTTTTAAATATATTGATAATTCATTTTCAGCAGAAGGTAACGAAAAAGAGAATGAAAACGATAGTGAAAATGGTGAAATATTTGATAATCATTTCGATTCAATTGAAAAAGATTTAACAAAAAAAAGAAAACATGTACCTGATGGTACAAGAAAAAAAAGAAAAAAGCTTGATAGTAAAAATAGATTTTGCCTACATTACCTTCATTCTACATGTTTCTCTTGTTATAGCTGATGCACATAAAACGTTCAACAAAGTAAACACTCAATCAGAAATAACCGTTTCCGGTAAGTATAATAGCGATCAATATTAAATGTCTTTACGATAAAGACGGACAACATAAGAAGATTTTAATTAATTTATCATGTTGCTGTTGTTGTTTCTTTATATATACAACACAAGTAGCTTGAGAAACTCCGCTTATGCTGCAAATCTTACCCGCAGCCAAGCATATGATGTAGATTCGTGCCTTTACCAAAACAGTATCATTGTGTATGACTGCAGCTTTTAGTGTGATCTGAGTTACAACATGTGTAAATACAATATATTAAACGAGCAAGCTAGAATAATATGGTACTATACTTAAAAAACCGGCTATTTTGTTTATTTTTATAAGACATGCATAACAAACAGTTCTTTTATATTAGATATTTCCATTATAAATACAATCGAAAACAAGTTTGCCAACCTGGAAAACAGACTTTTCTCCATGAGTAATACAAATGATCAAAAAATGGCTCATCTAACAAAAAAAATTGATAATTTATCATCAGCATCAATCATCGTTAAGTATATTTTAGTCAAATGTATCAATTACTTTTTCCATTTTAGAACAAAGTACTACTTGATTCATATCGGGATGAAAATAATGAATCATTTCCTAAAGAGCTTGTAAAAACTTAAATAGTTCTTTTTTTTTCATGAAATCGAATTATTTATTGTAGATGTATAAAAACATCGATTTATTACGAACAATGGCTTCATCGTTTGGTGATTTTGCGAGGAAAACTATGCAAATCGTTTTCACGGCTGATGAATTAAAAACTCATATTTTACCACCACAGAGATCCTATTTAGCTCGACCAAGTTTAAACTTAGAAAAGTTTCAATTGGTTAATGGTATGAACAGTATTTTGTGTAGGTTTCAACAGTACGAACAGATATCTATTTTTTTCTTATTAAGATGCTGTTCGAATTAGATATAGAATTGATGCAAGCAAATACGATTTATTTTACAAAAATGTATTACGAAAAAAATTATCAGATTTTCTTATTGAAGAACGTAGAAGAGAGTCAACCAAATTGGCTCGAAATTCTTTACGTACTCATATGAAGGACCATTCATTTACATCTAATCAATCGATTTCAATACAAACCTATGCTGAATGAAGTTTAACTTGAACTATATTGATTTTCTTTCATGTCTTTCTCGTAGAGATTTCTTTTTGTTTCATCTCATTTTATTCTAGTTATTTTTATTACCTTATTATTGTCGCACATTAACTAAATCCATGGTCCACATTTTATCATCAAAACAATGAGAATATGAAAATTCACCATTTACTTCTTTTCAAAACAGTATTACACTACTAGTGATTATCTGAATGACAATTTTTATTTATCACTTAAGAATACTAATGGCGTGATTTTTATTTTATTTATTCTCATTGTCAACTTTGTTTTGCTATTTTTCTGTGTGTCTTTTTATCTTTTTTTTATGTCTATTAAAAACTTTAACATCTTGGACCAATTTCAACATTAATTGGATGAAATATAGATATATGCTTAGAAAAATACTACGAACAATAAAATAACATATATCTAGCCCTAAGACGAAGAATTTACTTTAATATAATTGAAATATCCGTGTTCGTTTTTTATTAATAGCACGATGGCTTCAAATGAATAAGAAATCATTTTCATTAATCGAGGCGCTGCTTACTTATATGAAATGCAAAATCCAAGAGGTCCTATTATCGAAGTTAATAGCTACAAGTACAAAAATTAGAAGCGCTTGAGCAATTTGGACTTCCTGGAATGTATAAAAAACTAAATCTACAAAATAAGGAACTTAATTCCAAAAACATAAATACCTATCGATGCGAAATTATTTATATTGATAGTCGATACTACTTTTTAGTCATTCAATAATTATTCTCTATGAAGGTTAATAACATAATTTCTTAATTTATCTCATTTCGGTACACCATTTACGATTTGATGAAAATATATTTGCTCAACACTTCACACGAGAATTTAGTCCTTGTACATACTACATGAATTAAAAGTGAATTAAGAAATATGATTGATGTTGCCATAAGAAAACACCAGCACATTTCTAAATTCACTTTTTGTTCGCATAGTATGTACAAGATCTTACAGTTTAGTCATTAACAAAATGTTGTAATTCGTCGCATTTGATTACCTCAAACCAAGTCGACGTCAGTGCTACAGATATAGTTGATAAATCATTGTTACTGTCAAGAGAATATAAATATCACGATTACCTTACTCGTTTTTACCTTCATCTTCTTCTACTTGATATATCTATGTTCTTCAAAATATTGCGCTTTTCTTGTCATTGTCAGAACATATTCTATTTTTATTTTATTTTATAATTAGCCAAGAAGTTGTTTTGATATTTAAGAGCCTCATGGAATGATAAATGTTTTAGATGTTATTTTTTTTTAAATTTAATGACAGATACGCACAGCATATACACGCAACTACATGTTCATACTTAATAAGATTATTTCCATATGAATAGTAGAATTCATCAACATGTACTGCACAAAGCCATCTCATTGTCATAGGTTTGACAAACGTTTACTACCATTCCATCGCGTTTTTTTATCAGTATATTATATATATATATATTTATATATTTAACAGATATTTTTAGCTATTTCTTGAAAAAAAGCAAAAGTTTTTTTTTGATTTCTATTCATTGTTTGATGTTTAGTGACAAACAGAAGCACTTATGGCTATCATCATTGAGAAATAGGTCTTGTATTGACCACATAAGCTCCATTTTACTTATACTATGTAAGAGATATAGAGCAAAGTGAGTAGATAAATTTTGAATAAAAACTTATGTCATACAATTTATTATAAAAATATTATTAGTATCGCCATTCGTACAGACTCTGCCGTTCTCCAAAGGTATTCGTACAAATTTTGTCATTAGTATTATTTGAGCCTATCGTGCTATCATTATTATATTTCGATTATACTTCAATGGTTGCTCGTCTATCAACTGAGTCTTTTATCTTCTTGCAAATGAATATTTCCAGTATAATATATATAAATTTTAGTATGCCATCGGTTACTGAACATTCTAATAGATGATTAATAGTAGAATTTCTATTTCAATATATAATAAAATCTGTATTTCGTTTCTGTTCATTTTTTTTTGCTCTTATATTTGTTCTTCTATTACAGTGTTGAAAATTCAAATAAGAAAACAAATAGAAGAATAAAATACAAGCTAGAAAATAATATTATGCTGAAGTTAGATGAAAGAGTTCAACAACAAAATAAACAATTTCTGGAATATGTAGATAATAGATACAAAACAGAAAACGATAAATGTCAATAAAAAAAATCTAGTAAAACATTTCTTTTGTAAATGACAAAAAAGTTAAAACCTCTGAGATAATCATTTTCAAATGGAAATGGAAGAATTCTTATGATAAAGCAAAGGAAAACAAGAAAAATGTCCTTTTATACATAATTTAAAGAAAAAAAAATCAATTTTTCTTTGTTGAGCTTGCAGAAGTTGTATTGTTATCATCCTTCTTCAATTCTGAAGCAACTCGATAAGCACCAATCATTTCTTTGATTTTTCTTCGGTGTGTCAAATATGAAAAATAATTACTAACGGCTCGTCGCCGTTCAGCATCAGACACTTTGTCATTTGGATTAGACAACTTCGTATAATCTATGGAATAAAAACATCATTCAATTAGAAAACCAGCGTTTAACTTACTAATAATTGAATCAACAATGGATTTATCAACATCACGGTATCGAAAGTTTGAATGTGGATTTGGATACATTGCTTTTATCACAGAACGTGCTGTAGCTGTTGATGTTTTTCCATTACATTTTAAAAGTTTATTTGCATCAATCTTCAATATTTTCACTATATCAACTATAGAAATCTTTTCACCAACATCTGTATTTTCTTCATCACGTAAAAAATTTACTGGTTCCATTGAATTTTGGTTAATGTGTAGATGTCCTGCTGGTGCTAAATTGAGAAAGAGACTAATCAGGTCATGTGAATTTATATAGATAATATGAAGCTTTATAGAGTGAAAAGCTCTTCTGCTGTTCTAATATATGAAAAATCTTATTAGAGTGGAGAAAATTCCACTTTCATCGTAAAAAATCATTCTTCTCATAGTGAAGAAGAATGATACAAAAAAAGATTAAAATAAAAAGCAATCCATTTTAAAGAATAGTAAACTATTTAAAACATCACTCACCAGAAACCTTTTTTTGTTCAGGATATTTCTTCCTACTCATAATACTATGTTTTCTATAATATACAAAGAATTGAAATAAAACAAGTTACTTACGCATCGATCCATTCTCCAATTGCGTAATTTTAGATTCAAGTTCAACATATTTTTGTTTTAATTCCATAATGTAATTCAAAAGTAAATCATTTGATGAGTCTGAACGTTTATTATTTTCAATAGAATCAATACTATCTTCAAAAGATCTTTTTTGACCTCGAATATTGTGAAAAGGTAAGTCTACAAGTAAATCATAAATTTTGAAGGACAGAAATAAAGACATACATATAGCATTACCTCCTGTCACATTTGAATGTTCATCAAAAAACGAAACAATATTTTCATTTTCATTGATTATATAATTTGACGATAAAATTTCATCGAATTCGTCCACTGTTGGTAAAGGCTCTGTATCAACGACTAAATTATTTACAGAGTTATTGTTGATTTGTGGACTTTTTGGATTTTCGACCATAACCTGTAAATTCGATTTTTCAGCACCTACAACCAATAGATATACAATCATAGTGCATTGAGATTTAAAAAAATACAACCGTTTTACCATTTGAATTTTCTTTGTCGGTGTCAAAATTCAATTTCTTTCGAAAAGTTTTTTTAACACGCATTATAAAAGAAGAAAGATAAAAACAAACAATCTAAAATGGGAGAAAAAAAACATGTAATATCGTAAAACTGGCAATCAGTTTATATTTGCCGTGATCTTGAAATGTAAAATATTATGAAGTAGTATCAAAATTTCATATAATTGGTCACAAGCTATATCAAAGTGGAGTGACAATCCAAGTAGAACAATAAATGATTGTATGAATATTCCTAATGAGAAAACAACTTGGAAAACAATATATACAGAATTGGAATAAATGCATACAAACATAGATCGTGATCTGATCTTTTATAGACGAAAAAAATTCTTACGCGGCTCCTCGTTTTTTTCGAAATTAGCATCGTGTTAAAATAAATTTTCTCTTAGATAGAAACGATGATGAAAAAATATAGTAGTAAGCATTTTTCTTTAACAGACTCAATATGTATGTTAACAAAAATCATCTTTGTTGAACATTGGCTAGTATGTAGAAATTAACCAATAAAATATTTACTAAACTGCATTAATGCACTCGACGGTGCGAGTGTCGGATTATACCTCCAGCATGACATACGCATACCGTGCAGTGCATTAATGCAGTATAGTAATTATTCTATTGACTCATTTCTGGAAATCAATCGCATTTTTAATCGATTCTTTCTAATCGCGTACGTTTTGAGCTGCTTTAAGAAGAAAATATTTTTATTTTCAACGTTAGACCAAAATTACTTAAAAAAGGTTATGAGATACTTTTATTAAAACGTCAATCTGTTTCACACGATTTCAATAGCATCTCCTCAAATATTCGATCACAACAATAAAGTATCGAACATTAAAATGAGAATAAATACAAAGACGGAACTTCAAAATAATGATATCAAATTAAATAAATATACAATTTGATGCATTCTATTGTTGTTAGCGAATAATCCACTTAAAATGATTTTTTCCACTTACAACGAAACAAAGTAAAACATTAACACGAAAATATCTTTAGTTCAATGTAAAACCAATTATAATCTTCTAAATTCATCGGAAAAAAGAAACAAATACCAAATGAATAATATCTTGATTTAACTAGAAATTAATTGGAAAAAAACCTTTAAAATTAACTGTTTGTTTTTGAAACGAATAAAATCGCTGAAATAATATTGAATTGTTAATAATACATGGAAATTCTCTAACATTAAGTTCATTTCAATTGACATTCGATTTAAGAAAAAAAATTGAACATGCATTAGTTTTAGCTTCATTGAAAAAATCATCATTGCGACCATATGAAAGTTTTTATCTTTTTTAGACCAAAAAAAGTAATCGAACTAGACCTATGTAATTTTATTTAATTGAAAATAAATTAAACAAATGTTTACAAATGAAATAACTCTTTAACATTACACAAAAACACAATGAAAACATTTTACTTAAATGAAAACAAAATAAATTGTAGAAATTGTACTTCAATTTAAATATATATATATAAATTTATAACAGTTCTTTTTTACTTTTTTGCAAATGCAAAGCTGATGTATAAAATATATTCTTTAAGTTTGATTTCACAATAAGAAATAATACATTGTTTAGTATTTATTTTGTTATATAAAAAAAAGAAAGCAATAAGGAATTATTTTCATTAAAATTGTTTTTTCTTCTACGTTGAATAAAATAAAGCAAAGAAATATCATACAATTCAGGTAAGCATAAATTTAGAGAATTTTAAAAAATATATACAAAATCAAAAAAAATAATAATTAAACAAAACCATTTAGACATTGAAATAACTCAAACGAAAATCAGAACGATTTTATCTTCAAGGGGTGTCTCTATCAATAAATCATGAGATTAATTAGGCCTCGATATCGCTACGACGGAAGCATATATTTATGCATACAACAAGTTGTCTGAGTTGACTTTCACCATATGTCGTGTTCCTTAGGGAGTGCCTCTTCTATCAAAACCAGCACCCGCCTCAGGTATTTGAAACTAATTCCATGTTTAGAAATAAATTTGGTTTGAAAGTCTTTGAAAGACTTGAAAAATCGTACGCGTAATGTGTAAGGACAGAGAACATGTCGTGCTCCATTCAAAGCGCCTTTTTTCAAAAATCCAGCAGCCACCTCAGGTATTTCAAACTAATTCTTTGACCAGAAAAAAAATTGGTTTGAAAGTCTTTGAAAGACTTGAAAAATCGTACGCGTAATGTGTAAGGACAGAGAACATGTCGTGCCCCATACAGAGTGCCTTTTTCAAAAACCCAGCACGCACCTCAGGTATTTCAAACTAATTCTTTGACCAGAAAAAAAATTTGGTTTGAAAGTCTTTGAAAGACTTGAAAAATCGTACGCGTAATGTGTAAGGACAGAGAACATGTCGTGCCCCATACAGAGTTTCTGTTTCCAAAAACCCAGCAGCCACGTCAGCTATTTCAAACTTATTCTTGATGCAGAAACAAATTTGGTTCCAAAGTCTTTCAAAGACATGAGAAATCGTACACGTAATGTGTAAGGGTGTGGGTGTCGATGTCGGTGTGAGACTACAAGATGCACAACCATACCCCACACCCTGTCGGTAGAGTTCTAAACCCATTAGGGTACAGGTATAATAATACACTCGTAAGTGTATAGGTACTGTAATATACCCATAAGAGTATAGGTATAATCATATACCCATAAGGGTATAGGTATAGTAATATACCCATAACGGTATAGATATAGTTTAGCACTCATAAGGGTATAGGTATAATGTAGTACCCATAAGGGTATAGGAATAATTTACTACCCATAAGGGTACAGATATAATGTAGTACCCATAAGGGTATAGGTATAGTTTAGTACCCACAAGGGTATAGGTTCAATTGAGTACCCATAAGGGTATAGGTGTAATTTAGTACCCATCAGGGTATAGGTATAATTTAGTACCCATAAGGGTATAGGCATAGCTTTCGAAGATCTTTCAAAGATCTTCCAAAGATCTTTCAAAGATCTTCCAAAGATCTTTCAAAGATCTTCCAAAGATCTTCCAAAGATCTTCCAAAGATCTTTCAAAGATCTTCCAAAGATCTTCCAAAGATCTTTCAAAGATCTTTCAAAGATCTTTCAAAGATCTTACAAAGATCTTACAAAGATCTTACAAAGATCTTACAAAGATCTTCCAAAGATCTTTCAAAGATCTTTCAAAGATCTTTCAAAGATCTTTCACCCAGCTCGAGCATTGCGACGACCCTTATACGGCCGTTTACGACGCCGTATACCGCCGTATACGGCGAAATACGGCCGTATACGGTAGCTGTATAAGGCGAAATACGGCCGTATACGGTAGCTGTATACGGGCGTATTTCGCCGTATACGACACGGCGATATACGGCCGTAATACGGTACATGGAAATACGGCGGATTTACGGCCGTTTACGGTCGTAAAATCGCCGTATACGGCCGTTTCTGGTCGCTGTAATGCTCGTTCTGGGTTCATTAAAAAACTCTTTAATACGGTTATATGTATTGTACTAGTAAAATATTATCTAACTGTTTTAACTTGATGCTAGTTCATCTTTCATGTACAAGTGATTCGCTTCCGGAAAATTGTCTTTCGATTTCTGGCTAAAGCCATTCCTGTCAAACCTGTTAGATACGGACTGACAACTGAACAGTAGTCTTAATCCTTTTAATATAGATTTTTATAAATTAATCTGATAGTCGTTCTGCAAATACACGATGCTTTTTCGATCATTTTTATTGGCGACTAGCACAACACATACAGTTCTCAGACAGTATTGCCGATGGACTCACAATAATCAAGTCACGATTGGTTCTTTTTCTTAAATAGAACCCGTTCAGTCTAAAGTTTTCGAACTAGAGCTCCAACTCGGCCAACATCAAATTTTAGGATCCGACCCGAACAAGAGAGACTTTTTGAACTCCGACTTCGGACCGAGTTCAAGATCAGCCTGATAGACTCTACTCTGACACTTTTATCGACGAATGGTAAAGTTAATACAATTTATCATTTCAGTAGTAAATTCACGGCTCATAGTACACATCAAGTATATCAAATGGCGATACGTACTATGCAAAGACTAAAAAAAAAGACGTAATAAGAGCAGGACCAACTTATTTGTCATGTGTTGTTGTGCTGCTCCACGATCATTTGTCATACTGAGTGGCAGGACAGGACGTCCGCATCGTCCTGTCCTGCGCTCATCTCTGTTATCGATACTCAGTTTTTAACAAGCAAAAATTGATTTTTATATAAATGACATATTTTCAATGATCATGTACTTACATAAATGAATTTGTTGCCAAGTATTGATTAATAATTGTGTATCATCTAAAAAACGTTGTAAGAATAATTTATCAAGTTTAACTCCAAGTAAATTGAATGTAATTAAATAATCAGCATAATCATCATCAAAATTCATATCCAAACATTGAATTAAATTCATATTTTTTTGTTTTATTTTGTTCATTTCTTCAATTATAAATTTTTCTTTCATACAATTTTGTCTTGAGATTTTTAACACAAATTTTGTCCATGGTTCTTGTTGAGATTCACAATAAAACACAAACGAAGAACTACCTCGTCCCAAATAATGTAAAAATACTATTTTTTTATTTGAAAATATATTTATAAATTTTTCATTATAACCTAATTGAGCATCTGTTAAACTTAAAAATAATGTTAATATTTGTAAACCGGTAAGTTGTGTAACTGTAGCTTGTTTAATATACTTGATTTGATTTATTGTGTCATCATATAAAACTTTGATTAACATTGTTTCTTCAAAGTTGGTTAAGCAACCTATAATAAATTTTCGACCTGGTGAATAACGTAATATAGAATTGAGATAACTGGCTATTTGATCATAATCTTTTGTCTTTAATTTCCTTCTTTTTAATTCAATAATTGATTTGAAAAAAAAAAGGACAACTTGAATAATCATTAAGTCGTGAACCAGCAGTACAAATCCAAGACATATCCGGTTTTAAATTAGAAAATAAATCAACAAATATTTTATCATTATATGAACACGTATCATGAATATAATTAAAATTTCGTTTGTGTAAAAAATCTTCAAATAAATGATTTATTTCATTTTCTTTTGAATTTTTATTTTCATAAAAAAATTTTTGGATACCATTGTGTAATGAATGAAAATTATCACTTTGAATTAATCTTTCTATTTCATGATCAGTTAATGACAATATTTCATGAATAAATTTACACATATAAATTCGGTTCGGAGCCATATGACTAGCACTGCTACTAGATTTTGTTATAATTTCACTTGGAATATAAGTATGACTAATAAACGATGACATTTTGAATTAAATATCAACAATAAATATAATCAATAGTAGAATATTTCGTTGAAATTTATCAGTTAAACTAGAATAACTAAAATAAAAGACTAGTAGAGAATAAATAGATAAATACTATTTTTGTTATAATTTAGGGAAAAAAAGACTTTTTATTTCTTATTTTCGCTTGAATTAATTTCAATCAAACGAAGCAATTAAGATGTAAAACGAGGCGTTATTTTTATTATTATTATACAAAAATTTTACATTGATAAAACAAGAGAAAAAGTATTTAATCAAGTTTATAAAGTTTAAGAGTTGATTGTTTCTTGGTTCTAACAGCCATATTACAACCATTAAGAGAAATACAAACATTTCGAATATTTCTTATTTTAGTAACTTTAATTAATTTTGTTTTTCCTTGTTGATCAACTGCCCAAAGTTTATTTATATACCAATTAACAAATGACCATCATTGATTATGAAGCAATATAAGCATTAAAAAAATTGATGTTGATTGTCTCCTGAATTCATTGCAATTCCTCGTCTTATTCTTTTCATATCACGTGGCATTATATGTAATGGCCATTTTAAATCATCTTGTTGCATTATTAATAAACAAATATATTGAGAATCACATCGAATATCACGAATTCCAATATCTTTTGTTTCACAACAACCAGATTTTGAATAACGTTTTTCCAATGTCCATTGTGATGTTAATGAAACATGATATTGATCAATATATACACCTTTATGATAATTAAAATAAATATCACGTTCAAATGGTAATATCGATGCTAAAACATGTGATCGATCTGCAGGTTGAATTGCATCAACTTTAATTGGAAGATTTGGTGATGATTTTATTGAATCATATAAATATACAGAATGAATTGTTAATATTACAAAGACAGATAATGATGGCATCCGCCATATATCAACAAGGATACCTTAAAGAAAACAAAAAAATTATTTTTGAAATAAAATCAGAGAAAGAAACAGACCATAATCATTATCTTTCCAATCAAGTTCAGTTAGTTTTTTATGATAATCAAATAAAATCAGTTTATGATTATCATGAAGAAGAAAATGTGTATTTGAAAGTGCTAATGTTGATGAATTTATATCTCATGAATAATTTTTTGTTGGTTCAGGATTGATAGTAAATGTATCAATAATATCAATCGAATTTTTTTTAACATTTTTTTCACAGGTGATGCTTCTTCTTTTTTCATTTCATCATTACTTACATCTTCTAATAAATCTTTTCCATGACTAGCTAAATGAGTTGATAAAGCTGTATTGGAATTTATATTGGAATTGATAAAATTCTTATATCAGATAATTGTACATGAATTCATTGACAATCAAGCATCATATTACATTCAGATTTTATATGACATAATAAATTCTAAATTTCCAAAAAAAAAAAATAATCTTTTCGCTGATTCAAACAACATAAAAATAGAAATATCTTGATCCTTTCAAGGAGTAATAAGAAACTCCATAAAATAATCATTCAATACTCAACTTTGAGGACATGAAGTTGTGACGCTTTTTCTGAAATAAGTAAGACCGATTCACTAAGTGGAAAAATCTTCTTCGTGGCAATATCTTTAAGAACTCTACTTTAATTTCTAAATGAACTCTATGCATTGGAAGATATACCACAAACTGGAATTATCAATTTTGTTACCGAAGATGCAAATATTCAAAGAGACATTTCTACTAATTAAATGTGATTATCAATGCACACTTTTATGTATTATTCGAAAGGATGAACACTCTATAATACGTATAGCTAAATCTTTTATGAAATATCTTTTAGTATTTTTCAAACGATTTTTAAACATTCTATGGAAGTGTAGATGCGAGAATTCTTTACTCCTATTAAATTTTCCACTTTATCTCAAAGACTCAAATGTAAAATTGGATGTTAGAACGCAGTGGCTTCCAAAATGTTACGTGTATCCCGAACCGCTAAGTCATCAGATAGACAAGAATTTGAAATCAATTCTGATAAATTTTACTTTTTAAGTCTTAAAATCAAAGACGCCACACATTTAATTACTTAAATAAAACTGTTATATGCGTATACTGAAATCTGTAATGTTCAAAAGAATGAGAAAATCATGATATTTCTAAATAGGTTTGAGTTTCTTTTTGTCTCTATTTGATGATTGAACGGTTCCCGTTTCAAGTAGTTTTTAAAAAAAGCCAGTTTCGGTTCCATTTTTTGGAACCATTGAACCTTATTTAATGTATATACATACCTGCATTTTAGTCAAGTTTCTCTGGATCAGGTTTTGGATCATCAAGAACTTTACTAATTCTTGGCATAGTACGACTTTTCAGTTGATCAATCATTTTTTATTTGAATTTATTCGATTCAGGACAAACATCTCGAGTATAAACTTGTGCTAGATCTGCTAAACGTTGTGAATAGATTTGACCAAGATGTGCCACAGCAGCTGAATGCCACGATTCCAATTCTTGTTGACATTTTGTATGAATATGAGAGAAATTCATGTTCTCTAATGTACGTAATTGTTCATTTGCAATATCAGATAATTCAAGTAATGCATCAAATGACCAACCATGTTTATTATTTTCTTTATTTTTTTAAACAAACGACATTGTTTCTCTCCTGATTTATATGATGGATTAATGACAAATTAGAGAAAGAAAAAAAATTAATTACTTTTCGAAACAAAGAAACTGTGTTGTGTCATTCAACCATATTTATTTGATCAACTTTCATGGAGATTAAGAATAATGCATAAATTAGTTAATGTCGTCACAATCGTTTGTTCTGATTGGGAAAAATAGATTGTCAAAAGAGCAAGCAAGGGTACTCGTTCAATTTAATCACAGTGTATGTACATATATAACAGAACAAGAAAAAGAATTGATTGGCGAAAAAGTAATCATCATATTGAAAGATACATACAGTGACTAAATATATTTAATCACAGTTAAAAGATGACACTAGTCACTACTATCATCTTTTAACTGTGATTAAAATATTTAGTCACTGTATTTATCTTTCAATATGATGGTTACTTTTTCGTCAATCAATTCTTTTTCCTGTTTTATTTACATATATACACTATGATTAAACAGGACAAGTACCCAGGATACTGCTGAATAATATAGTACTTTGTTTTCAAGATGATTATGTATTTTTTTAAATTGTAAATTGTAAATGTAACTTCATCTGTTTTGTTTTAGAAGACATCATCTTTGTCTTTAATACATTATTTGAAAAAAAATTCATCTTTGTACATTTTGATATATTCTGCTTACGAAAAAGCATTTTGTTTTAGATTTCCATTACAAACAACTTTTTCAACTCTTTGAACTTAAAATGCATCTAAATTACAATAAAAAGAAATCCGAATTATCGTTTATTTAATATAATCCATTGTTTTTGGTATAGTTTCTATGTTTGAATGATATTAGTAATCCAGATAATGATTTAGAAAATTATGAAATTTAAAAAAAAAGAAATAATTCATGATGATTATTTGAATCTTAAGTTTATTCTGATTGTAAAGTTTTATTATTTTATTTCAGAATATAATTTTTTAATAAAAAGTTTTGATTATTTCATTTTTAGATTAATCATCAAATGATATTTCGCCGAATTCGATAAAGTATTGTGTGCTCAACCTTAATAGTATAACTCAAAGAGAAAAACCTATTTGAACGTACTGTAGTTATTTTGAAATAAAGAAAAAGTATGAAATTTGCAATATATTGTTCCTAGGGGCCGCACGAAGGGTCTGAGATTGGGAGAGTGTAGCGAGTTTTGAAGGAGTGTAAAAATTTTTGGGGGGTGTAAAAGGGTATTTAAAGAAAAATTTCTTTAAAAAAACACAAAATTCGTTCCAAACGTGCTCCCATTGCTGAAAAAAAAACAAAAACTTCCAAACATTGGCGTGGTGTACACCCCCCACATCTCCGCTCGCACGGCTCCTGATTGTTCCTTTATTTTTGATGATTACTTCTTACGAGGGAACATTCCCAAGTGATCCGCTCCGTTTGCCTTCGTATTTTGTCCATTTGTAGGACCTATTATAGTAAGAAAAAGTCTAAGAAGATTTGTGTCCTGGTTACTTCTTTTGAAAGTTATGACCGTTTTGCTGATTTTCAAGTCACTCGTAGGTGTTTACCGAAAAAATTAAATTTGGGATTTTCTACCTGAAATTCTGTCTATATATAGATCTAATGATCCTTAGAATATCCTGAAAGTTTCAGACAAAAAGAATGTTCCTTTCTCGAGATATTGATTTTTCAAGTGAACTCGGTTTTTGTGACTTATAACTACTTTTTGAAATATCAATATCTTGAGAAAGGAACATTCTTTTTGGCTGAAACATTCAGAATATTCTAAGCATCATTAGATCTATCTATGGACAAGAATTTCAGATAGGAAATTCCAAATTTGGGTTTGTCGATAAACACCTACGAATGACTCAAACATCGGTAAAACAGTCATAACTTTCGAAAGAAGCAACAAGAGTACAAATCCTCTTAGATTTTTTTCTTATTACAATAGACCCTACATATGGACAAAATATGAAGGCAAACGAAGCACATTACTTAGGAATGTTTCCTTGTCAGTTTAATTTAAGATTATGAACAGTTCTTTTCAATGGAACTAATTATTGATATTTTATAGTACTGCAAGAAATATATTATTGACTCACTTATAAACACTATCAAATAGACGATTAGACTTATATAACAGCGAATCAATTCTCAAGGGTAAACCAAATTATTCAGTCGACATGTAAAACCAAATCAGATGGCTTTGTATATTCTTTTTTTTGGTTTATTAAGTTGTGAGATAAGTCTGTTCATAGAATGTTTTTTTTCTGATAGTGCAGTTCGGTTATGTTCACGATCTTTCGCATCGATAAAAACTGTCGTTCACTTTTGAGTAACATCAGTCATTAAACTAAGAGGACATAAAAATATAACGTTATATTGCTCGGTTATTATTCCATCCTATGGTAAAATTTCTCAAAAAACTGTTATCACTTTTTTGAGAAAGCCTAACAAGGGAGCCCCCCTCAGAAAATCCAATTTTTCGAAGATGAGGTGAAATTGAAGTTTTATCATAGGAAGATGCACAGAAGTCTCCTCTTTCAGAATATCTATGTTTTATCGAAAAATGAATTGATTTTGACGAACTTATCATCTAAAACTTCGCTCCTACTGTCATATTTTTTGAGAAATTTTCAAGGCTTTTTTCAACCTTTTTCGACTTTTTAGGCTGCTTTCTCTTTGCATCAGCATTGCGTAAAGTTTTTTTTTTATACTAATCACTAAGAGACTATCAATACTTAATGTTAAGATCAAATATTTATAGCCTGCCTTGAACATTGATATATAAATCAGGTGATTTTCGGAAAAACCGACTTCTAATACTTATTTTCCGTTTTTCTGAACATCAATTTTTTCGAGTATACCGTTCACGTGTTCAAGGATTTTTTAATAATGACTCAATAGATAAGGGATAATTTTTTTTGTTGAATAGAGGACAGTTAAGGCTAGGTCGTAATAGAGGCCGATTTTTGAATTTCTCTTTTGATGAAATAAAAAACTTAGTTATTTCATTTTTGTTAGCAATTTTTTTGGGCATGATTTCGTGAATTTTACGAAAAAGCTTTTTTGAAAATCAAACAAAGGGACATTCAAAAATCGGACTCTATTAAGACCTAGCTCTAAGGGCACTCTACAACCTGAAAACCGCCCCAACATGTTAGCTCGTATCCTTATTGCGAAATCCGTAAACGCGTAAAGGGTAATGAATTGACTAGAACTTGTTCATTTCTTTTAGGTTTGAGGGAGATATTTTAACCATAAGCTATTCTAGTCAAGACTAACATTCTCTGAAATTTCGGTTGAAATCGGATGAAAAATAACAAAGTTCGTTTCTGAGGGAGCCCCCTTAATAAACCGAGTTGGCATTCAAAATTCTATGAGTCTAACAGGTTCCAGTTCAAGGAAAAAAAGTAAAAAGAGAACTAAAGTAGACATTTTCAAACAGGAGAGAAGAAGCCGAAACAGTGACTTTTGATCAACTGTCCTTTATAAATATCCTCTATCTACTATTATTTTAACTTGAAAATATTTTCTTTTTATTTCTTCAGCATTATCTCGAGTTTTTTTTTTAATTTAAGAAATACACTCTCGTGTTTCACTTTGATTTTCTATTTTGTTAATGTTAGTGATTACATTCATAAGTTTCATCAAATGTTTTAATAGTAACAGATTTTTTCTAAGTTTTTAACATGAATATCAATTTCATTAATGCGCACAGAATTTAAATATAAATTAATGACCGTTAAGAAAATATTTTAAAATTGTTCAATTACTTCAAATGTTTCTTGTTGTGGAGCTTCTTCTTCAATATGTTTTTAAATAGATATATTCTCCGTGTTTTTAATAAACTATTATTTCATTTTTTCAAAAATTCCCAATGTTGATTATGAAAAGTCCATTGATATGCAGTTGCATTAAAATATACCATGTAATAAACTATTTTCTGACATTAATTTTTGTTTTCGACATGGAATGAAATAAAGTTTATAAATACATTAATCAACCACTCCAGTAAACCAATTTAACTTATTTAAAATATGTTTTTCAGAAGTAGAATTTCTAACATAAATATATGTTAAAGAATAATTTTTATTATAAAATTTTTTTATTTTCGATTGAAAAACTAATATAATGGTAATCTGATAGTTTTACTAAACCAGGAAAATTTCTTTTAAGATCAGATTTATTTTAATTTTTTAAAGGTTTTCTCTCATAAGATTTTTTCAAATCATAAATTTGAATGTCTCTATTTAATGAAATTTGTTTTTCTTAATCAATTTTCTATATTGGAATTAAAAAATATTCTTCAAAAGATGAGAAATCTTCTGTAAAAGTTTCTAATAAATAATTAACAGTTGAATTTGTATATTTACAAATTTTT